GGCCTGGTAGTTCTAGAAACCTACTTTTATCAGGAATGCATTCAATAGGGAACAAGACATACATACCTAGAAGAGTATAAAAGTCTTCTACATTCAGAAGGAAATAAAATGCTAAGGGGATAAGGAGTGGGGAGAGGATAAGGGAGGGATCTTTAGGAGGAGAGGGTGAGGGAACAGGTTAAAGAGAAGTATAGAAGGGCGTTTAGATTAATGGGAATAGGAGGACAAGGGAGGAACCCTTGGAGCGGGGGTAGGTTAAGTAATAGGATAGCAAGTAGAGGAGTCAAGAGAGATAGGAAATAAGAGATATGCACAAACATAAAGAACAGGAGTAGACTTTGTTAGGGAAAATTTCTTAGGGTGGTAATCATGATCTCAGACAAAGTTAAGGCTAAAATAAATTTAATCAAAAGAAAAATAGGGAAACTATACTATATCTCTGCCATATTTATGTGTCAGCCATATTTATCAACCTTGTTTCAGATTATTCAAAATAACTAGACAACATAAGGTTGGAATATTGCTGTGGTACAAGAAATGATGGTTTGGTGGACTTGGAAATATATGGAACATCTTGGGCTTATGAAGGAAGAGGTTATCCATTCTCAGAGAAACAGGACAAATAAGTATAATATGGTCTTACATAGATGTATATGAATGTATATATCTATATGTGAGTATGATTATAGATATCTAAGTACATATATTTGTAAATAAGTGTATGTATGCAAAGGTATATGTATATTATATATTTTTTGTGTGTGTGCATATGTCTATATGTGTATGTATATATATATATATATGTATGTGTGTGTGTGTGTGTGTGTGTTTATCTGCACTTAATTATAACCTGTGGGGGTTGCAGGGGGCAGGAAGGGGGAAAAAGAAGAAAGTAAAAAGAGCACAGCAGAGAACAAAAGAAAACTTAACAAGTAAGGAAAAAAAGACGGATAACTCTCAACACAAAGCATAATATTTATTAGATCGGCTTTCTTGAAATTGAAATTTATTTCTGTATATTTTATATCCCCTCTTATATCCTGCTGTGCACATGTCAATGCTTTTACCCCTTTTCTTATTTTATATTTGTTTCAATATTTAAGTTTATAATGTTTCTTTTTCTTTTCTTGTATATTTAAGTTTTAATATTTAAGTCTAAAATAAATTTTCAAAAAAAGAGAGAATATCAATTAAGTTGAGCTAAACCACACCTTAAGCCCCCCAAACCCTCCAATTTTGAAGATTTATTTTTGCTCTAAGGGTTGAATAAGAGATTGATGTAAGTCTGGAGGTTTATAGTTATCATATTCACTATATATGAACTTACAGCTATCATATATTACTTTATTAGGTTCCAATAATTCCCTTTTAATATCACAAAAAATTTTAAGCTGTTTTTGAGAAAGAGAAATACTAGTAGAAAGAATGTTAAGTAAAAATCTCGTGTGATTTTTAGAAGGTCTGATAAATTTTATTTGCTAGCCAATTTATTGCAACAACTTGAGAGGATTGACAACAATTTTGTCCAGCCCTACTGTGATAAATGAGACTTTGCTGTTTTAGGTGAAACCTTTTTGGGACCCTGAATGTACTTTTCAAGCTTCATTCTTAAGTTTGTTATATCCTTGGGCAAACCCTAAATGACTACTTTAAGAAAAACACCAGCAGTAAAATGGGAGTGACATTTGGAATCTAAGGCCAGTGGATATCTATCTGTCCCTGAGAATAAAGTTGGGAGGGCAATCTTGGGAAGGCTAAGGTTGGACTCTCAATTCATTTTCCTATACAAGAAATCTGGCCACTTGGTTCCATATACTTGGTTGCTCATAGTCATTCTGAGTCTTGGGCATAGTCCTTTAGGACCCATACTGATATATTCAGGGCCCTGTTTGTAGCAAATATCTCTAACCAGGGCAAGATAAATTGTGATTTAAAAAATTACAATTCTCTTACTGTTTTCAATCTGATATTATAGTCAAAACTTGTTCTCAATGATATGTGATCTTTAATAATTAAATTCACCCAAAGCTATGATTATTAGAACTTGCTGTTTAAAATCTTATGGGATTAACTGAGTCTGATTCCAGCTATGATCATCAAGATGAACTGCAGGTGAAGGTCTCACAGTGTAGGCTGGGAGAACTATTCTTGGGATGGGCTGAGATAGGATTACCCTGACTTGATTTCCCCAGTATAACATTTCCTCTTGAATTGAAAGTATCCCACCATTGAAGCCTGGCTCAATGCAATTTGCAATCTATAGGATTCTTGCTTGGGATTGACATGAAATTAGGGGACCATTTTCCCCTTATTATAGCTATATTCCTAATTCTCCTTTTGTGGCAAATTTCTATAATCATGTCAGGTGTTCAGCTAATATTAATTACATAATTAACAACAACATTAAATATTTATCTCTTAGGCTAATACTGGTGCTACATCTAAGCTACTATAATAAGATGAAGGTATAAGATTTGAGCTATTTAGTCTTGAATTTTGGTCCTTTCTGTATTCTAAACAACTAAGTAGATGAGTATTTGGCAGTGATATCTGCCTGTTACTGGTGATATATTTGTGTATAAAATAAGGTCCTTAAATGTTTCTAAATAATATAAGGCTAATTGGGTACTGATGCAACAGTTTATGGGACCAAGCTGTTTTCTAATAATTATTAAGACTAAATCAGAAATACCTTGGGATTTGTTTTGAAGAAAATAATTTCAGTGCAATCAGTTTCCTTAGAAAGGAGTAATTAAGAAATATTTTATGTTACCCAAATGGGAAAAGTCAATTTTCCTTCAGCTTATTATTTAATTTGGAATTACCATCTGAGTATTGAGCATATCTTGAAGTACAAACATGTTTTATTATAAACAACTTATTTGATATGCACTGTTTTGAAATTGATTACTCAGTGTATTTATATATCCTATCCTGAAGAATATATACAATTACAAATTTTGTTAAAATTAACATGGCAACTTTTAATTGATTTAGAGTTGTGTATTAGAGGTCATTTTCTTATAAAAAGTTTTCTGTTATTAGTTCCTTAGCAGAATCTCATCCTCCGGGGGGGAAATGAGCAGCTAAAAATTAAAAGTTAAGAGGAAATACTAAGTAAACAAAATTTTATTTTTGGTGAATATTTTGTTTTAAAAAATAACAAGATCAGATAATTATATATGCCAAATATAAGAATTGGGTTCAGAATTTTCTGATTTTTCAGTTTGTATTTGAATTTCCTAAATATACCAACATGACAATTTGCTAAGCTACATTACAAGGCAAATATAGGTTAAAAAAAACTGAAGTTCTTTCCCCTTCTGGAACTTGAATTTGAGGTGAAAAATGAAATAGATGAACACCAGGAGTTAAATGATGGTGGAGTCTCTACCAACTTAAAAGGCACCTTTTAGCCTTAGCCTACATAACTCTATGACAGATTATCAAATTTCATAACTAAAATGACTCATTCTACCAGTTAGATCCTCATAGATTCTTTTTAGTTCTCCTGTCACCCTGTTGTTGGCAGTGTCCAAAATAATCTGGTTTAGGTTAAGATGAGGAACAGCAAGGAGTATAGAAAAATGTAAATTCTCTGGTCTAGAAGTTTCTAATTTGATGTTCTTATCAGGTTTGAACTAGTTCTCCACTACTTGAACTGGTTATTTGCAAAAAGAAACTTGAATCATATTAAGATCTATTGTGTAAGAGATTTTAAAAGAAAAAGAGATCCTGGAGAAGCAAATTCATTAGAAACTGCTCTGAAGTCCCATCTATACCAGAAGTCCAGGAGAGATCTCTAGAGGACCAGAGGACTGCATCAGATGATGTTTTTAGAAACGAGAAAGCTGTATGAGATGAAACATGTGGGCCTTAAGATATAACGGTAGAGCACCAGCCCTGGAGTCAGGAGGACCTGAGTTCAAATCCAGCCTCAGACACTTGACATTTACTAGCTGTGTGACCCCGGGCAGGTCACTCAACTCCACTCATTGCCTAGCAAAAAAAAAAAGATATAATGGACCAATGAAATGGATCCTTCTCTTTTTATTTCTTTCTTATGCGCCTCTGTACTGTGTAACACCTGCTTGTTTGCTGGAGATTGCTCCCCAAAAACTCTTGTCAATGCCTTGGTCAATCTCTCTTCCCTTTCTCCATATTAGTGAGTGTCATACATGATTCATTGAGAAGACTCTGCCTTCTCAGAATCAGAGGGGGGAATGACAGAAAATTGTTAATACCAAACGTAATATGTATTGGCACAACCTCTTAGTTTTCCTAGCAGTGTCAGAATTGCTATACATTCCTGCCCTTAAGAAAATGTAGATTAGGTTGAGCTGAGCCATAGCAGAAGCCCCCATCCTAGAATCTTTCTTTGTAAACAAAGCCAGCTGGAACCAGACCTGCCCCCTCCCCCCCAAGTAGCGCCTGAATTCCTTACCCCTTGTTTTGGGATCCATGGCATGGTGGGCAAAACAGCCAGAAGGAAGTGGTTTTCCTTGCTATGATTGACAAGGGCAGCTGGCATCATCTCATGTGACCAAACCTTGCTACCTCATACTATCTCCTCCCTTCCTAAAGCTGTAAATAACCTAAATCAATTGTGCTCCAGCACCCAGGGAACATCCTCCCAGGGTGGCAGGTTTGCTATCTTATTTCAATTAAGAACACTTTATTCCTCAACTCTTGACCTTAATTTATTTCAGGACAACATTTATAAAAGAATGCCTTGGCTTAAACGAGTTTTGTCCTAAGGTGCCGCTTTCTGCCCGAGAAACACAAGCTCATCCCAGCTGGGCTCCTAAATCCCTCCCCCGCTCCCCATATCCTCCCCGAGGCAAGAGCATAACTCTTCTCTAGCCATAGTTTCCGTTTTCTGGCTCTCAGCCAATGGCGTCTCACTGAACTGGGAGCCACTATCTATTGGCTGAGGCGAGGGGTGTGGTGGGCCGCCTCCTTGGAGGTAAAGGAGACCGTTCCGAGCCGAGATCTACAGACTGAGCTGGGGCCGGAAGCGGGTGTTATCTTTGCGTCCCTTTCTGTTGGATTGGCTGGAGGTGGTTAGTGCCTTCTGTTAGCGCCTCCGCTAGCAGGCGAGATAGCTGCGAGACATGGCGATGTTGGCTTTTCGGGGGTCTCTCTCGGCTGGTGGTCCGCTCCCCAAGCTGCTGCGGGTAAGGAGCCCCCGCGGTCGGGCTGAAAGGTACCCGGGAGGGCGGGCAGGGCCTGGAGGCTCTCCTGCTTCCCTGCCCCTGGGCAGACTTGGCGGGCGAAGAGACAGCTTCCGGATCAGGGGGAGGGCGATAAGACCAGACGCGTGTCCGGGATTTTCTCCGGCCCTAATGGCTCGATGTTCTGGCGCTGTTTACAATGCTAAGCGCTGGGGGTGGTGGGAGGAACTACGGCAAGACCCTTCCTTCCCTTACCCAACACAGATCCTTTCCTCAAGGAGCAAGGCAAAAGCAATGAGGGGTTTTTGAGTGATTATTGTGTGTGCTGGGCGCTGTGCAAAGTATTTGGGGGGGGCGCAGAGGAGGAGACAGCATAGAAATTACTGGGTACATACGAGATATATACAGAGCAATGGGAGGTATAATACGGAAGAGGAAAGCACTGGCGGCTGCGGAGACTCGGAAAGCCTTCCTTCAGAAGTTGGAATTGGAGTCAGGGAAATGAGCAAAAGTGAGATAGGGGTAGGACATTCCAGGCAGGGAGGGTGCGTAGGACGTGGTGGTAGTGACCCGGAAGAAAGGCAATTTCATTTTCCCTGGCCTCTGCCTTAACCTCCCATATCAACCCCAGCTGTCAAGGTCACCACTTTTCTGCTTCCTGACTGTCAGGAGCTGCCTTAAAGGAATCTTCTGGAATATCTCACAAAATTAGACTTTGACAGTATTGAAGAGCCCCAGGATAAAGCTGCTGACTTCATAGAGGGATTTTGTTTCTTTTGTCCGTTTAGTTGTAAAGTTCAGGGATTGGTTGAAGAGTTTCATGGATTTCTAGTTTTGTTTCTTTTGTATGATTTGTCATCTTTATTTTAAATTTGGTACTTTTTGGATGAGTGGAAAGGGTAAGAAATGCCAGATGACTGAAAGAAATGATACCCTCTTTGGAGACAGTAAAGCTCCTGAAAAGAATATTTTTAAAGAAATACATGTGTACCAGGTACCTGTGATTAAACCTTTCAGTAATTATTAATTAAGTACAGACAGGGCAAAGCATTATGTAATACACAAGTCTATGAAATGCAGTACTTTCAAAGAGCATCCAGCGTTTTAACGGAGAATAAGACTTGTACTGAATGTCTGTAGTACAGAATAGTATTGGAGTTGGCATAGCAGGGAGAAAAGCCTGGTCTTATTAGACTTGGATCTAAATCCAAGCACTGCCACTTATTACCTCATTTTCTTTATATTTAAAATGAAGGTATTGGAGACTAGTTGGTTAGTAAAAGTACTTAGCAGAGTGCTTGGCGCTAGCCCATAGTAGGTGCTGTATAAATGTTTATTTCCTTCCCTTCCCCCTAACTCTGATACTCTGTGATAATGTGAAATAAAAGACTCAACTGACAAACAAGACAAGTTGAACTCAGCAGGAGGAGGAAAGCTGGCTGGATTGCCATTAGAAAGTTGGGAGGTAAGGAAAGGGAGGAATTATTTTTTGCATTGTTGTATAGTATGGGGAGAGGATCAAAAGAAACTTTGCTGGTGATGCATCACGCGATAGAATCAAGCTATTTAAGGTCTGGGGACTGTTCATTTTTGTCTTTATACCTCTAGCAACTAGCAGATTGGGAAGGCTTTGAGTAGCAGACTAGAAAGGGGGAAGGTGATGATGGTAGAAAGGGGGTTTGAAAGTTTTTAGACAGGGAGTGATGTGAAAGGTATATTATGAAAATTAGTCTAGTAAAACATATCCTTTAGAGGTTCTTTTCTAACAAGATGTCTCCCATCCATAAATCTTAAAAGTCATTCAAGATTCCTTGAAAAAAATATTAGAAGTAACCTCCTTCATTGATTCTCTGGTCATAAATGTTAGGTGAAATAAGACAGGGAGATATGTACTGCCAAAAATTGTTTGCCAGTGTAATGGAGGAATTATGTACATAAAATAGTCTTAAGTTGATGAAAGATTCCCAAGTGAAGATGTCCCAGATAACATATTCCAGGTGCTCCTTTTGTAGATTGTAGATTAGGCTGGTTGCATCAAGTTCCAGAACATTATTATCTTAACCACTGGGAAAAGGTTGGCCAGTTAGTCCACAAAGGAAGAACCAAATGGATGAAGAATGGGTATTTCTCAGATTGATATAGTTGGATGAATTTCAATTTATATAGTGTAGACAGCATAAATAGACAAGTTGAATTCAGCAGGAGGAGGAAAACTGGCTGGATTGCCATTCGAAAATTGCAGTTCTTTTAATAAGTCAATACCTCTCTAAGAAACAAAGGCCTGCATTTTAAATTTTAACCAGTATTTTTTTTAACCATATCATATCAGTATGTTGGTAGTATTGTTATGCCACTGAGGTTAGGGAACACAGTTTCTGAGGAATTGAAAATTACTATTATACAGAAGGAAATGGGAGAGGACATGACATGAGGAACTTTGATGAATAGGAGTAAAGGATATATTACCAAGAAAAATATGACAGAAAAAAAAGTTTAGTTGGTCACATGTCGGGGGTCTGACAGATGACAGTTGGACAACCAGAGTGCCCATATCTTCACTGATACCAGGAGAAATTGAGGAAGGCATCCAACACATTGGGTTGATTTCCCCCTTTGTCCACCTTGTAGGAGGATGTGAACAAGAATTTTGGAGGATGATAAGACATAGATTAGCCATGATCTGTATTACTGGAGGGAAAATCCAAAGCTATGAGATCACAGATCCATTTGAGTATATGAATTATCTTAATGTGGTATTGGTATGTAGGGATGGATTAGAAAGGGAAAAGACAGCCTGGCAGACTATATTGTAAGACAATGGAATGTTATTGTCTAGGTTTGAATTAAAGTACTGTAGTCCAATGGCATCAATGGGAATGAGAAGGGAGATAATAATAGGAGTGGGGTGATTTTAGTGACCAGTTGTGTTTCCATAAGACACAGAGGTCAAAGATGATGTCAAACTTTGGTGATGAGGGAAAATAGTGTGCAACTAACAGAAATGGGAAAATCAAGAGGAGCAGATTATTGGTAGAGGTTTGAGGAGATAAGATAAATTTGGTTTTAGATATGTTGAACAGCATTCAAGTGAAAAACTTTAATAGGTTTTTGGAGCTGCAAGTTGAATTCAGCATAGAAGAAGAGGGAGGACAAGGCTGGAGAGAAAAAAAAATTTGTGGTCCTTCCATAAAAAGGTAATAGTTGAGTTTTGGTTTATATAAAATCTCTAAGGAATAAGATAGAGTTAAAAATAGAGGTAGTGAGAAGAGAAACTATTAAAGGAGATTTCCCTGACCATTTCATTTCTCTTTAAAAATTTTCAGTGGTTTCCTTTTGCCAATAAGGAAAAACATACTCCTCGCATTTAAGCCCTTTGTAGTATGGCTCCAGTCTACCTTTGCAGCTCTATATTTAACAAAAATAATAATATTAAAAATAACTAATACTTATAAGAGCTTTAAGATTTGCAGATACTGTCTATTTCATCCCAACAATCCTGAAAGGTAGATTTATTCCCTCTTTTACAGATGAGGAATTGTGGTTAAGTGACTTGCTGGAGTCACACAGCTAGCTAGTACCTAAAGCTGAAGCTGTGCCGTAGTATAATTCTCCCTAGATAACTCATTGTTCAAAGACAACATACTATTTCTTGCCTCTGCTCTTTTCCAGGAATGAAATCTGTCAAAATTCTTGCCAGGCTCAGCTCAGTTGCCAGTCCTGTGAAGAGTTGAGTTTTCTTTTTTCCTGCATCTCCTTTCCTTCCCCTCTCTGTTTCCTTTTTTTTTTTTCTCCTCAGAGTTTCCTACAACCGATTGTCTTGATCTCTTCTTTGCTCTTACTATACTGTACAGTATGCTTATCTGTATACATGTGGTGTTTCCTCTCTTGGGAAAACAGGTGTTTTGAAGGTAGGAACTCTGTTAAAAATTAATCAATCAATTAATTAATTTGTTGTTTATTTCTTTTCCACTTAATAAGTGTTTTATTTTTTCCTATTTCATGTAAAGATAGTTCTCAACATTAATTTTTACAAGATTTTGAGTTCTGAATTTTTCTCCCTTCCTTTCTACCCTCTGCCCTAAGACAGCAAGCAATCTGATATAGGTTATACATGTACAATCATGTTAAACATCTTTCCACATTGGTCATGTTGTGAAAGAAGAATCAAAGCAAAGGGAAAAGCCATGAGAAAGAAAAAAACAAAAAAAGTGAAAATAATATTCTTCGATTTGCATTCAGACTCCATAGTTCTTTCTCTGGGTATGGTTAGCATTTTTCATTATGCGTCTTTTGGAATTGTCTTGGATCGTTGTATTGCTGAGAAGAGTGAAGTCAATAGTTGGTTATTGTACGATGTTGCTGTTACTGTGTACAGTGTTCTCCTGGTTTTGTTCACTTTATTTAGCATCAGTTCGTGTAAGTCTTTCTCTGTTTTTCAGAAATCCACCTGCTCATCATTTCTTATGGAATAATAGTATTTCATTACATTCATATACCACAACTTGTTCAGCCATTCCCCAGTTATGGATATCCCCTCAATTTCCAGTTCTTGGCCACCACAAAAAGAGCTGCTTTAAATATTTTTGTACGTGATGTTCCTTTTCCCTTTTTTATGATATCTTTGGCATATACACCTAGTGGAATTGCTGGATCAAAGGGTATGCACAGTTTTATAAAGCCCTTTGGCCATAGTTCCAAATTGCTCTCCAGGACGGTTGGATCAGTGATCGGTTCACAACTCCACCAACAATGCATTAGTGTCCCAATTTTCCCTCATCTTCTCCAGCATTTGTTAGCCAATCTAATAGGAGTGAAGTGGTACCTCAGAGTTGTTTTGATTTGCATTTCTCTATAGTGATTTAGACCATTTTTTCATGACTATAGACAGCTTTAATTTCTTCATCTGAAAACTGCCTATTTCAATCCTTTGACCATTTATCAACTGGGGAATGACTTGTATTCTTAGTCAGTTCTCTATATGTTTGGGAAATGAGGCCTTTCTC